TGCAGTGTCAATGGTACCTTTTTACAATATAACTTTAAGTTAAATTCGAAAACTACTTGGTGACAATTGCCAATAGAAACCATTGCAGGTTACATGGGGACTATATGTTAAAACCTAAAATATGGTGAGTATTAGTATTATTACATGGGGGCTATTTGGTATAAAATATTACATGGTGACTGTTAAGATTATAACATGGTGACCATTGGTTGTCATTTAATACATGGTGACAATTATTATCTATACCTTATGGTCATCAATGTATGACACCCCCCATCATAGTGTACTAAATGCATACTACTACCGTGTACAAAGTCTTGTAGTTAACATAGTTGTAGCTTTTGAACCACGCAAGTTCTTTTTTTAAATTTTTCTTCAGCTACATAGAACTTGCTTTTCACTTGCATTTTGATTTCGTTGATACTAAGCCTTTTCGGTATCTCGAGTGCTGCGGGAGGAACGGGAAAACAACGCAGGACATTTTCTCCCTATCAAAAAGCGGAAACTTTCTCGTCGAATTGCTTCTGATTGACTTTTTTCACCAAAAAGGTAATGCAACCAACGAGTATCCGAGTATTCTATATAAATTTTGAGCCCTGTTTGAGTTTTTTTGATCAAAAAAGTATCAAAAAATAGAGAGAAAGGGTAAACCTAAAAGAGTACAAAAATCACTGGTCAGAATTTTTTTAATCGATAACAAATATTCTTCTCTTACAGCTTGCTAAAAAACGTCTTTTTTTCCAAATAAACTATACGTAATCAATTTAGAATGATTAGATACCTTAATCTATTTAACAGGGTTTCATCTTTTAATTTTGAAACCGACGCAAAAATTGTTCTACCCAATATCCTAAAAGTAAACAATTTAGTTTTTACGGTGTAAGGGGATTTTTGTTCACTGTCAAATTCAACAGTCTTGCAACACTACTCACTGTCGATTTTTACTAAATGCACTAAAAGTTTAAGACAAACGAGATTGGACATATGCAATGATGTCACCCAAAGATTATTATATGGTCCCTTGTTTTTACCGGTAACTGCAAAGTATCGCAAAATTTCAGACCAAAACTTGTAGATAAGTGGCTGTTTTTTAGGGTTATGTGAAATCTTTCACTTCGTGATTTGCCAGTCCTACAAGAATGAGACTAAGCAAAGTTTTCTCAAATGAATATTTTTTGTACGTAAGATTTTGGTTGCTCACCTTTTTTTTACCAGCGTAGTAAAACTCATTTTCCAAATAAAAAAGTGTGTTTCCAAATAAAAAAGACTTGATCTTGACCAATTTTGGATTCTAAAAAAGACAAAAAATACCTGAGAATTCTAATAAAAAAGCTAGAATATTTTTTCCTGTTTTTCATGCAAAAGTGCTAGTCTAGTGTAAGAGCTCTAGGCACTGAGGTTCCATGGATAACAATTGACCAAAAACCAATTTTTGTGCGCAAAAATATTGCCCTTTTATTTGATTATTATTCCTTTCGGGACCACGCAATCGATTATGATTCTTTAAGTTCCATGATTTAGAGAAAAATTACAAACTCATAATCCTAACGTTTTACACGCAGGTGTTCTCAATTTTATCAACCAAATTGAACACGCCCAAACTTACAACCTCCCATTTATCAGCACACCAACCACAATCCCTCATCTACCCGGCCTCCACCTACCCCATCCTCCATCTACCCCACCATCACTCACTCATTCCCTTCCACCCACATTCAGCCACACAACTACCCCCACCACACCTACCCCACCCACACTTCCACCTTTTCCACCCATTCCATCATTCCACCTTACCTACAACATCCCCCCTCAGTGTGTGTAGGTATAAAGGGGTGGGGGTAGGGTGCGCATGTTTAAAAAAAATTTTCATAAGAACGTAACGAATCATAGGATTTGAGATAAAGAAGAAACATTGATGTGTGATGATCAATTAGTTTTCGGATCAATTAATCATTATATCAATTGTCTATCAGTTAGATAGCTCAGAAGTATATCCTAAATTTTCTTTTGCTAAAACAATCCGGAACGATGAAATATCGAAAATCTTCGTCCCTAGAGATTCGAAAAAGGTTTCTGAGAAAGAGCTTTTGTATAACTAATCATAACTTTTAAAAAAACGCATTTTTTCTGAAGAAATTTAGTGAACGTGCACTTGTCGGACTTCGATAACTGGAGAAAATGTTTCAGCTTTCAAGATTTTTATCGTGGTCAATTATGCAAATCTGAAGTCCATTGAACCACTTTTGTTCTATATTCAGATTTTGCACGTCGTCTTTAGAAAATCACTTCAATAAAACTCTTTGTCGATGTTTTTTTTTCTAGAAAAATTAGATCCATTCAATAAGCTTGTTCCTGTTAATAATGTACCTTTGTTTATTTTGAAAAACTTCCAAGAAGAACTATTAGCTTATGCTATCACGTGTAGTACGAAAATTGGTTGCGGTTCTGTATGCGAAAAGCTATAACACTGTCTCACAAACATGATCACTTTTCTGATTATCTCCGTTTTTCGATGAACATTTTTAATGGGGAGTTGAAGCTGAAATGGTGTATCAAATATTTCATCTGCAACATGCGTTCTCAATTTTTTTATTCTTATATCAGTTTTTTTTTCAATTCTGAAAACTTAACTAACTCAGTGCCAAAACCAACGACTGAGAAAAAGACAGAACACGATAAGTTTTTTTGCATCGAAAACTGCAGTCTATTATTTCTGCTAGTCGCAGAGCAATCGATCTCCCCTGCGTCTTGGTATGAAACCTTCTTTCCTGCTGTAAGTTTCATACTTGAGTTTTTGGAGACACTTATTTTAGTACACATTTCAAAATCAGATTTATATTTATAGCTCTACGCCAGCCAAGAATAATGAATGCACCACAAAATTGGCGAAGCGTTTTTATCTGCAGAACAATTAACATAATTGTTCCGACATTCGAAGAAAGTGACGGAATATTTGTGCTCGCGTGGTTTTTTTTTCCTCAGACAAATTAAGACTTTCTAACTAGCCTTTTTTGACAAAAATTTTATATCATCTGAAAAGTGTTGTTGTCTTGAATTCCCCTGTGATCATTTTGTGTAAAATTATGAGGCTTTGAATGGGGGCCAATTGGGACAACTGATGATCGATATTTTTCGCGCTATTAACGTGTAAGGGGAGATTTAATCGTCTTAGAGTTCGTTCCAAATTGGTTGAATCAGGCTATTTACCATAATTGCTATGTTACTAGGAGCGCAATCTATCACTTTGTACTTTATACGGCGTCTTATAGGGTTGATTTTCACAAAAAATCTCAGATTAGAAAATTCCTCTTTTATCATTTTTTTTCATGTTATCACTGCGCGTTAGACCTTAATAGGCAGTCGGAACATTCCCTGATATGAGCAGTCTTGTTGTTCCGACTTTCGAAACAAAAGTAACGGAATATTTGTGCTCGGGTGGGTTTTTTTTTCTTCAGACAAATTTCGACTTTTTAACTAGCCATTTTTGACGGAATTTTTTTATATCATTCGAAAGGTATTGTTGTCCTGAGCTCAAATTTGAAAAGATATTTCCCCTGTGATCATTTTTTGTAAAGTTATGGGGGTTTAAAGATTGCCATTTTGGCCAATTTGGGACAATTAACGCGCGATATATTTCGCGCTATTAACGCGTAAGCGGAGAGTTAATCCGTCTTAGAAATCGTTCCAAATTGATTTAACGAAGCTTATTTGCCATAATTGATGTGTTACAAGCAGTGAAATCTATCCTTTTGTTTTTTATATGGCGTGTGGGGGGATGATGTTTATAAAAAATTTCAAATTTTTGAAAAAAAAATTTTATTTTGTTTTATTACTTTTAATTTTTTATTGATATTACTGCTCCATAAACCTTAATAGGCAGTCGGAACATTCACGGTTTCGCCCTGATACGAGCAGTCTTGATTCTATTTGCGTCTGATAACTTGCACAAAAGTTGTTATTCCAAGGAAAATTAAAAGATTCGAATATATTCTCTTTAGAACAGAACTTTACATGAGCCTTAATTTGAATCCTAGAAACTAACCCCGATGTGTGAGCAGCTTAATCAAGTTTTGGAACTGTATACGTTTTTGGTAAAAACTTGAGAAAAATGAAATCTGCGGTAAGCAGAAACGTTGGTCGTTATAATTTTATCTGGAACAAACAAGGAGTAATAGGGGCTAGAATAACTATACTTTTAAAAACTCGTTTATTTGAATAGCAGACATGATTTTTAATAAAATTTGCGGTTCGAATTTTTTCTAATTTTCGAAGAAGTTGAAACAGCAAAAACTCCCAATAAAAGACATACAGCAGATTTTTTTTACACGACATTGTAATGTTATGCTATTGGGTTACATAGTTTAATTTGGAAACAACATACACGAAATAAATGAAAGAAAACAATAAGATTTGAAAGATTACGTGATCGTACCATTTTCATAGTTTTCTCTTTTAGTTTGTCATCTTAAATTGTAACGATACAATGCTGCTCTTCAATTTTAATCTTGTAACAAGACTGCTCGTATCAGGCCGAAGCCCTGAATGTTCCGACCGCCTTTTAAAGTTAATGAGGCAGCAGAAATAACATTAAGAAATTTAAATGAAATAAAATAAAATGAAATTTTTTTTTCTAAAATTTGAAATGTTTTGAAAATAATCCCCCCACACGCCATATAAAGTATAAAAAGATAGGTTTCGTTCCTTGTAACAAATAAATTATGGTAAATAAGCTTCGTTCAACCAATTTGGAACGATTTATAAGACTGATTAAATCTCCGCTTACGCGTTAATAGCGCGAAATATATCGCGCGTTAATTGTCCCAAATTGGTCAAAATGGCAATATTTAAACATTCATAACCTTACAAAAATTGATCACAAGTGAAATATCTTTTCAAACTTAAGCTCAAGACAACAATACCTTTTGAATGATATAAAAAAATTCGTCAAAAATGGCTAGTTAAAAAGTAGAACTTTGTGTGAAGAAAAAAAAACCACCCCGAGCATAAATATTCCGTTACTTTCGTATCGAAAGTCGGAACAATAAATGTGAGCTGTTTACCAAAGACGAACTATTTAATTTCAGTCGTATATCCATAAATCAATGTATTCCATGTTTCATTCTTCTATGATCAGACAGGCCAAGTTGGCGTTTGAAAGTTTTTCCACATTTGTCACACTTGATAGAAGTTGGAGGTGAAACAATAGCTTTTTCTTTCTTAACTTCTGCCCAAATTGCAAAGATATGACTGAACGTCGTCGAATTTTTATCCCAAGTTATTGTCGGTAAGAACGTGAAGTCGAACACCGAGTAAGAAAAACTAATACTCTCGGGCTGGTTTTTCCATGAAATCTGTTTCACTAAAGTATATGAGCTATTGAGTTCGTCTTTTCTTAACAGATGCGCCAATTTAGCAGGAACCGACCAAACACAGATTAAGTTGTAGGAGATAGGTGATATGCAATCAACCGAGTCTAGTTGATGAGTGTCTGAAGTTATTTCAGTTACTGAACCAGTTATAACTGAAAACTTGATAATTTTGTTCTCGTTTTCATCAATAAAAAACAACTGATCTGTATAATAACTACCAGTCATTTTTATTTTTGGACATGACTTCGAATTAAATTTACAGCTTTTACTGTTCGTTAATTTTACCATATGGTTTATTGGATCCCAGTAAGACCAATACAAAGAGTTTCCGAATTTAAAGGGCCAAAGACAGTTATCACATTCAGGGTAATTTGCAGGTGAAAACTTCCCATTTTTGTGGGTCATGGCAGTTCTGTCACTTAGCAAAAATATGAAGTCACTTGTAAAATCACTTAGGAAGTTATTCAATGGGTAGACGTGGGTTATCGTAACGTTTTTACCGACTGTTGTTTGGAAACGAGAAACAAGTTCAAATTTCTGATCATCTTTGACAAGATTCACTTTGATAACTTCAATATTCCCGCAAAAATTGTCTGCAATTCTGAAGATCTGGCTTCTTTGCTGTCCCACGATATTGAATATATTACATTTGCCAACAAAAGTCAACATTTTTTGAAGATAAAGGGTAAAGTTTTCAAAAGTTTTCCTGACTAACTCTTCGGAGCAAAACGAAACGACTAGTTCTTGTTGGTCAGTGCAACTTTCAAACATTGGTTGGAACTTTTCAACTTTCATAAAAACACTGGAGTAATTGTTAATCAGTCTTTGGTCTGACTCGCTCAGCAACTCCCGAACACTTTTTTGAACATCAATTAGTTCATTGCATACGTTTTCAAGATTCTGTTCGAATTTCTCATTGGATTTTGATTTTCCTAAAACGTCGCGCAGCAGATTTTCTTGCAGTTTGTTACATTCGCTTTCTATGGCGAGGGAAATTTTTTCAGCATCAGTTTTGTTTTGATTGACAATTTTTGAAAATGTTGTCTTTCTTAGTTGAACAGGTTTCTCTTTGTTTTCTAAATCAGTTAACAGGCTGAAAACTTTTGTTTTTACTTCCAAAGCTTTCTCTTCGAGTGATTCACATTCATGTTTTCTGTGTGATGCCAGGCATTTGCAACAGAAAAGAACGTCACATGTTTTGCAGTATTCGGAGACAATAAAATTGTGAACCGCGCACGCAATTGGTTCAAAACCTTTCGAGTCCACAATCGAGTGCCCTTTTCGTATATGCGGAACTAAGCAGTCTTCGCAGAACAAGTTTTCACTTGACGTTTCTCCATAATTAGGTGTGCAAGTTTGACATCGATATAAAGCAATATTCGGTATTGTTGTCAAGCAAGACCCACAATCCGATGAAGACATGATGAATATGTATTCTAAAACACACGTCTACTTTCATATCTTAGTACTTAGAAAATTCTTTTTCTTGAAGTTCCTAATTAATTAGTCTTCTCTTTTCTGCTTTATGTTTATGTTCAATATCTTCAGCATTAATTTGCAAAAAAAAACGAAACTGAGACATTATTTTTATAGAAATTATTGTTGCTAATTTTCTATGAATTCTGATGTTCCCAGGCGTTGGTTAGAGGAAACAACAAAATCGAAGCACTTCAATTCAGTCCACTACAATATTTCCCCAATGTGTTAAAGTTATACTTGAAGATGTTCCAAAAATAATAAAAATGAACGTACACTTTCGTTTGGAAAGAATTACGCTAGTGGACAAAATTGAGAATTTTTTCTCCTAAATGCGTGTTTTCAATGTCTTTCTTGTACAAAACTTACTTCAAATTTCAAAAAAATTTTTACATATACCAAGAGCAAATCATCAGAGCTACTCCCAATGAAAATCATTGATTTCAATGACTTACCAATGTAATCCGGGTCTAAAATGCTAGATTTTTTCATCTGTTTGGTTGGCACTAAGTTTGGCAAAAGTGAACGACTGAAAAACTGCCGAGTTCAGCTAAAATTTTACACTGATTGTTTAATTTGTCTCGCTGAGAAAGCTCATTGTCACATGAACAACTATTTTATTCCGCTTTTTAAAGAAAGTGTTCCCCACGATGCAAAACTTTGTGCAGATGAAGAAGTTTTCAGACGCAGATTACATTGTTAAGTAATTGAAACTTTGATAAAATCTTAGAGGGTAACTCTGATTTGTTCTTTTTCTATCTAAAAAAAACTTCAAGAAACTGTAGTCCAAAAAGGACATGGAAAAGAGACGTTTAGAAAAAAAACCTGATTTTGCTTTTAATTTTGTCTACTAGTGTAATACTTTGTTGAATTTACGAACTTGACGAATTTTATTTCAAAGTTTTTTTCAAAAACTGAGAACAATACTCATAAGAACTCAAAAGTTGAGTGGATTGTCAAACCGAAACCTAGTTTCCAAAACTTGAATAACTGCTCAGAACAACGATTGAGTGCAAGCTAGCTTTTGCGATGAAATTTTATGTGTTAAGATGGGTAAAACCATTCCATTAGTTACATCTATTCCATCAAATACGAGTTAGGGAAAAGACTTCATAGTTTACGAACAAGGGAAGTTACACTTTGCAAGTTAAAAATTAGGCTTCTTTTTTCCCACGCTTTAAAATAAGCAAAATATGAGTTTGAGGTTTTCCATCATACCTATAAATTACGATCTTTGCGAGGTAATGTGAAACCAACTAAAACTTAACATTTAGTTGAATAGTGTTTCAACGTCTCGATAAACCCGATGACTAAGTGGTTAAAAATATCTGTAAAACAAACAATTTATTATTTAAGATACTTTCCTTTTCTAGAAAAGCTATTTCTACCCAGTGCAAATCGAACACAATGAAAGAGCCAAATTATGGATAAGACTTGCTACTTTGGCCCATCTTCATGATTCTGAACGGTGATGAAGTCAATGAGAAAAAAATTATAAAGTAGCGTTGAAAGAATTACAATAAAACATTTCAAATTAACAAAAAAATGAAAAAATCTTTAACATTTCAAACTCATGGTTTCAAACTTGGTTTTTTGAAAATTATGTAAAACAGTTTTGGGCGTCAACTTTACACTCAATAACTATCAAAAACCTCACCTACTTCTACGCCACCTGAAAGAGACGAAATTTTAAACTAATTTAGGCTAGTTCTGTGACTTGTAAAAAACTACTTTCAAAGAAACTGTCATAGACACTCAATTTACCTTAGTTTGTGTCAAAATTAGTGAAGCAAATCTTGATTGTTGATTAAACAGGGTGAAAAACACACTACTTAAGAGAAAAGGAAACCTAAGAACACATAATAAGGAATCAAAGTGGAATGCACAAAAACACACCATCCGGATGGCAATTGAGCACAAAAGCTTCGTTTTCTTCTTCAGCAAATAGACATTTTTAGATCTTGAACACAAATTTTAATAGAATCTTTTGAAAAAAAAGGTTTGAAAAGTGAAAAGACGGTATCAGAACGCAAGAAACTCCCGAAAAACAATCCAAGCTATGATTTGGCGACAGATTTTAAGGCTTTTTCCAGCATTCTATTATCTTATACTCAGTTTTTTTGATAAACACATTGAAACTCTAATAAAAGATTCTGAACTTTTTTCACGAAAGAAAAATTTGCACAATATTTTGCGTTACTTTTGTCCCATATCACCCCAAATTGATATTTGTTTTGTTTTAAGAAAATAAAAAATTGAATATATGAGTTTGGTCTTTACAAAATACTCATTTTTTCTACCCTAACAAATATCAAAATTCACAACAAAATCTAAACCGTGTTTTTAACTACAATCAAACTTAGAACTGTAAGTTTTCTCAAAATCGTTTCAAATCTGAAGTTTATTGCATGTTCAAAAAAATTTTGTCAGCAACTTTACTGTAAAGGCATTTTTTGTATGATACAATTTCCTCAAAAATGAACCAAGGACATACATTCTGCATCAATGTCAGCTTTTACGGGAAAACTTGACGGATTTTCCATTAAAGCTGGTTGATTTTCGGAAGTTTTATTCCACACTAGTATCACTAATGCCCACATAACAGAATAGAATAATACTTTCACCTAGCGAGCTCAATATTTTCACCTAAAGCTAGGTAGAAATGTGCCTAATTTCTATTAAACTATCTTTGCAGCTGCGCGGAATGATATTCAACAAGTGTTAGATCAACTGCAAAATTATTACACCTTTGATTTCCGGAATAACAGTGCTAATGTATCATTTGACTGTTTTTGAAAGCAAACACATTTAATCGATCCCGAATAAAGACGAGAATCAAAAATGTGATGCACAAAATAAGTTTTTTTTGTCTTTTTTTTCGAAAAAATGTAGCTTAAACAACCATCATTAAAGAACAAATTGTGAAACCAGAAAAAAAACAATAAGTTGAACTCATAACAATAATTTAGTTAACAATTGAGTCAAATTATAACAAATGAAAAATTTTGAAAATTAATTTTCCGAAAAACAATTTCACCGTAAAGTTATTTCGTTTCATTGTTCAAAATTAAGTTAACAAATTTTTCCAATTTTACCAACATTAAACGAAACAAAAATAACAGAAAGAGTTTTGTTTACCTTGAATTAAAAGATGAACTGTGATAGAATAATGACTAGATATTGCCAACCAAAACCTTCTTATACTGACATTCTAACACAATGAACTTCTAACATTCAATTCGGAAAATTTTAATATGATTTTTTGTCATTGTTTATTATTTTCGTTATTAAGATTAAATACACTCACAGTTCATGGTTGCAGATCATACGTCATCCGAACTGAAATGACATTTATTTTTTTACAGAAATTTGCGTCAAAAAAGCATATTAAGGTTAAATTGCTTTTCCGTCAAAATAAAGGACTGGTGATGATAAGTTGTGCGACGCAAAAATTGGTAAGCTGGTTTGAAAGTAAATGGCGGTATGTATTTGCAAACATTTTAACTGAGTTTGGTAACAACGTTGTTAAGGAAATATCGTAAGCTATACAGTGAATACAAGTTCAATCATTAAAAAAAAGGTGTATTGTTATCTTTCATCACATGATTTGACAAGTAGAAAAAACAAGCGTGCAAAATGATAAAATTACAGAGAGTTGCAAAAAGTTTGTGCAGACAAAATTGATTATCAAAAGCAATTGTAACAGTTGCATGCAATTTGGTTTTTCAGACAACCTCGAGATATAATTAGTAGCAAAAAGTTCGGACAGACAAAAATAATTAAAAAGAGCAAATGACCTTTTTCAGACCTTTTTTACATGCAAACGCTAATTTTTCAGACAGAAATTTTGTTTCAATTTTACCTAAAAACTCAAATTTGCATGCAAAAATTGCTCAAAAATGGCAGGTTGCTCTTTTTAATTATTTCTGTCTGTCCGAACTTTTTGCAACTCTCTATACACGTTTGGACTGAAAAGTTAGGTTTTGCACGCAAAGTTTTTTCAAAAGGTCAATTGTTCTATCTATCTATTATATATTTAAATGCGGGCTTCACTATCTCGCAATGTTTAAGCTTCTTCAACGTATTATTTTCGCATGTTTAAGCTATATCGTATATTGCAATGGTTAAGAATTTTTTTTCGATTTTCCAATTTGATTTTAGTGGTTATTTTACGAATCGAATTAGGGGTTGCGAATTTGGCCTCCAATTTTGAATGCTCGAATCATTTTCAATTTATCTAACGAGTTAAGACGATTTTTGAGATTTTTTCAAAAATTATTTGAAATTTCAAATAACAAAATATTTTGTGAGAGTACTCTAAGGAGTTACAAATCTTGCCTCCAAATATGACTGTTCAAATCCTTGTAGTTTTCGAGATATGACGGTTTTTGTGATTTTTTTCAGAAAATTTTGAGAAAACATATAATTTTTTTTTCGCAAAATCTGAAATTCCCAACCCTGTTGTTGGGTCCTGTCAGAGTAATCTCAAAGATTGCGAATCTTGCCTCCAAATATGACTGCTCAATTCTTTGTAGTTTTCGAGATATGACGTTTTTTGTGATTTTTTCAAAAATTTTCAGAAAACCTAAATTAATATGATTTTTTTAAAATCTGAAATTCCCAACACTGAAGTTGGGTACTGTCAGAGTATTATCAAGGATCGCGAATCTTGCCTCCAAATATGATTGCTCAAATCGTTGTAGTTTTTGAGATATGATGTTTTTTGTGACTTTTTCAAAATCTATTATATATTTAAATGCGGGCTTCACTATCTCGCAATGTTTAAGCTTCTTCAACGTACTATTTTCGCATGTTTAAGCTATATCGTATATTGCAATGGTTAAGAATTTTTTTTCGATTTTCCAATTTGATTTTAGTGGTTATTTTACCGAGTTTAAATTAAGCAGCCCAATATCGAATCGAATTAGGGGTTGCGAATTTGGCCTCCAATTTTGAATGCCCGAATCATTTTCATTTTATCTAACGAGATTTTTTCAAAAATTATTTAAAATTTCAAATAACAAAATATTTTAAAAAACTTGAAGTTCCCAACCCTGTAGTTGGGCGCTGTCAGAGTACTCTAAGGAGTTACAAATCTTGCCTCCAAATATGACTGTTCAAATCCTTGTAGTTTTCGAGATATGACGGTTTTTGTGATTTTTTCAGAAAATTTTCAGAAAACATAAAATTTTTTTTTTCGCAAAAGCTGAAGATCCCAACCCTGTTGTTGGGTCCTGTCAGAGTAATATCAAAGATTGCGAATCTTGCCTCCAAATATGACTGCTCAATTCTTTGTAGTTTTCGAGATATGACGTTTTTTGTGATTTTTTCAAAAATTTTCAGAAAACCTAAATTATTATGATTTTTTTAAAATCTGAAATTCCCAACCCTGAAGTTGGGTACTGTCAGAGTATTATCAAGGATCGCGAATCTTGTCTCCAAATATGATTGCTCAAATCGTTGTAGTTTTTGAGATATGATGTTTTTTGTGATTTTTTCAAAAAAAAATTCAGAAAAATTACATTAATTTTTTTTGCAAAATCTGAAATTCCCAACCCTGTAGTTGGGTCCTGTCAGAGTAATCCCAAAGATTGCTACTCTTGCCTCCAAATATGAATGCTCAATTTTTTGTTGTTTTCGAGATATGACGTTTTTTGTGATTTTTTCAAAAAATTTTAAGAAAACTTAAATTATTATAAGTTTTTAAAAATCTGAAATTCCCAACCCTGTAGTTAGGTCGTGTCAAAGTACTCTCAAGGATTGCGAATCTTGCCTCCAAGTGTAACTGCTCAAATTATAGTAGTTTTTGAGATATGACGTTTTTTGTGATTTTTTCATAAATTTTCAGAAAACTTAAATTTTTATTATTCTTTTAACATCTGAAATTCCCAACCCTTTAGTTAGGTCCTTTCAGAGTACTCTCAAGGATTGCGAATCTTGCCTCCAAATATGACTGCCCAATTCTTTGTAGTTTTCGAGATGTGACGTTTTTTGTGATTTTTCAAAATTTTCAGAAAGTTGAAATTAATTTTTTTTCGAAATTTGAAATTCCCAACTCTATAGTTCGGTGTTGTCAGGGTACTCTAAAGAGTTGCAAATCTTGCCACATGCAAATGATAAACGCGACTGCTCAACTGCTTTTAGTTTACGAGATGTGACGTTTTTGATTTTTTCAAAATTTCTCAAAGAACTTATCTACAAAGAAATTCAAAAAATTTGAAACTAACAGCTTGATGAAGATACAACCTTATTGTCAGCGTACACTCAGGCGTCGCAAATCTAGCCTCTTAAAATGAATGCTCAAATTTTTTTAGTTTCCGAGATTAGACGTTTTTGTTCAATTTTTTTTTCGGGAAACTTAGGTTTAAAAAAGTTCACAAAGTTTTGGATTCCTTACTCTATAGTAGGGTGCTCTCAGGGACTCTCAGTGGTTGCAAATCTGGCCTCCAAATTTCTCCAGAGGCCCATTAAGTTTTTGAGATGACGCTTTTAAAATAGGAATTAAAAAAATTTTAAGTTTGTAATTGGGTGCAGTCAGAGTACACTAAAAGTTTGCAGATGTTGTTTCCAATATATGCGGTTTTTACTGAGTTGTCGAAAAATTTCAAAGCACCGAAGGTGCGTTAAACGCTAGTTTAAATATATTTGTCTGTTCAAACTTTTTGATACTAATTATATAATAAGTGGCAAAAAATTGGAACAGACAAATTATTAAAAAGAACAATCGACTGCTTTTGGTGTTTTTTGCCTCCAAAAACTAAATTCAGACAACCTTGAAAATCTCACCAACAAAAGTTGTTACCATGGACAATTTAGCAAAATTTGTCAAATCAGTTTTTACTAAAAAACAGTATTCCTCTTCTCAAATGGCTCCTTATAGCCCGGACATCAACCCGATCGAAAATGTTTCGGGAATCAAAAAAAAACAATTGGCTTTGGACCCGCCAAAAACTCCCGACGAAGTCGCTCAAAAAGTTCGTCACATTTGGTTCATGCCCTTAATGATCCTCGTCGATTTCAAAATGTGATTGCACTACCTGGCTACGAATTTTTAAGTGAAAACTTCTGCTACGTGAACTTTTGATTTTATGTTTGTTTCAGTTTTAGTTTTTGCTTATGTCTGTCTATACAGTTGCAATTTTTAACTAATTATGTCTATTCGAACTTATCGCAACTCTCTATATATAGCTTTTAACCAATTTCGCGGACAATGTATTACTTTTTAAAATAATTCTGACCTTCAAAAATCAACTAAATCATTTTTTTTTATCTCGCGTTTGCTTTTATGTCGGAATTTTACGCGTTTTTTTACTCTCAAAAATTGCATGCTAAGTTTTTTCAATTGTACTTTAAAAGCAACCCGGGTTGACCTCCATACACCGAAAATGCTTATCATACAATTCCATACATCGAGTGTGTGGAAAAATGCTTGTCATACAATCTTCATACAATTTCTTAAAATGGTTGAAAACTGGTATAACTGGTATAACTGGGAAAACAGTCTGATGATAGAAAACTGAGGTTTTCAATTTTTGAAAAAAATGCTTATCATAAAATTCCCATATATGTAAATGGTAAGACAGGCATTTTTTTGATGGCGACACAAAAAAAATTTCCAGTAATTTTGAAAATTTGGCCCAAAAATTTTTTTTGTTTTTTTTCCAGCTGCAAATCGAATTTCGTACGCAAACAAACATTTTTCGAAAAAAACTTTTTGCTCGCAAAATTTAATATTTTGTGTGCATAACGTAGTCCTGGATACGATAAAATCGGATTTTATTTTCTTTTCACTTATATGTTTTTTCAAAAACGCTGAAAATTCATATTTCTTTCGTAACGGGTGTTAATAAATGCCTTGATCAATGTCTGATAATTTGAAAATTCAAAAATTTAAAATAATCATCATTAAAAAGTTTTGCCAAAAAAAAGTTTGTTTCTTTTGTTATATGCATTGTGAAAGACAAACTCAGGTCGTTTTCTATGCATTGTAAATGCACGACCGTCCAACCTTTGGTGTTTTGAGTAACCAAGGCCTTTGTCACTTGTGTTCGGTTGCAAACACAACCAAAAATTTTTCAGAAACTAAATGCAGAAAGAAAAAATCAAAATTTTTGATTTATGGAAAAACACCTATCATACAATTTTCATATATGAAAAAATGCTTATCATAGACTTTTCATACAATTTTCTGTACGTATGGAATTGTATAAAATTGTATGACAAGAAGTTTCTCATATATGGAAATTGTATGATAAGAAGTTTTGGTCAACCGGGGAAAGCAAAAAATCGACAAAAATGCGCAGTCGAATTGCATACCTCTTCTGTCAGTTCAAGCTCAGTTTCTCTTATTCAACTTGAACACTGAGTTCAAGCTCAGTTCAAGTTTATTAACTTAGTTAATCAAATACAGTTGAATATTGTTTCTTTCGAAAACTGAAAACAAAACAAAAAGTAAGGTTTGAAAACAACGTTTGTTATTTTTTCCATGTTTTTTTCCTACTCAAAAAACGCAACATGGAGCTTCACAGTTTTTTTTGAATGCTTATGTGAAATTTATCACTGTTTTTGTATCAATTATGATTTTTAAAATAATTCCCTTTAAAAGCTCACAATTTGGTTAAAAAAAGAAAAAATCTGCCATTTTTTCACACACTGAGATTTTTTTATTTTTTTTGCCGAACACTTCAAATAGAAAGGGTTTTAAATTTGGCGTCAATGAAAATTGAATATCAACAACTATTGAATTTGTTCTTTTTTTGGGTACCTGATTTTGCGTGGAAAACTAAAACTGAAAGACACACGATATCAAAGTTCCATCCATCTTTTATTTGTCGAAACAAATATGTCAAAGTAAAATTGTCGAAAGACTAATTTTTTTGCTACAAACATATTCTAATTAAAAGTAACTAGAAAAAAAAGCACTGTAATTAAACAAGTTTCTGCAAGTAATACAGAAAACGCGGACCCGTCTATGGAAAAGTTTTTCTTTTTTGTTCTGGAACTACATCTATCGCAGTTTCAGATCAGATTTTTTTGATTGGTAGATTGGCATCTCTGATAAGGTAGAATTTGCTTAATTTTGGCAACGCTGAAACTTGTTTCAAGTTTAAGCTCAGTTTTTTCCGAAACAGTTTTCGCATTTAACACAAGGTTTTTTAATTTTAAAATTGTTTGGTCTGGCTCATTTCCTCTGTCCTTTTTAACCGATCAAGAGACAAAATAATGCTTTTTTAAATAATGATTTTGAGTTGCCAATATTGATTCAGTTTATAGTTCTGTTTCAAGAGCAATTACTTCTGCTTAAGAAAAATCACCACCAAAAAAGCTTTTTCCTATTGATATTTTTTTGTAAGCTGACCTAGCATTAGCGCCTGTTCAAACTGCCAATATGTGCATGTTTATAGTTCAAAAAAATGAGATAATCGGTTGTCCAATTGTTTTCGGCATATGTCACTCAAGCTTAGAGAAGATTGTTGATATGATTTGTTTGTTCAGTCCGAAAGACACTCTTGCCTTGGTGCTGTAAACAAAAAAAGGATTTTTTTTTCTAAATTTCATTCATAAAAAGGAATTTTAAAAAAAATTAAAAGTTAGAGGTTTCGTCAATGAATTGCCGTTTCGACTACGAAAAAAAAAGTGCACCGCGAAGCGTAGACGGATAATAAACATTATAAATAAATTGAAGCTTAGTTTTTGAAAACTGCGGTATTCGGCGCAAATTTTTTCCAAAAATTTTAACAAAGCTTTTTTGAAGCTTTTGTTTTTTCTCCAAAAGTCGGTTAGCCATTGGGATATTTCGGGGTTTTGCCCTGATGCGCACTTTGTGTAGTCAGATGATGGCAAAACTAGAGAAAGAAGTTTGAAAATGTGTCTTACCTTCATTTCAAAACTAGAATAAGATAGCTAAGATTGTCATTGTGCCGTACTACGCCTTATTTGTCAAACAATAACAAAACTTACAGAACAAGTTCAAATTATACCATTTATCTTACTGTTCATGATTGTACAAATTTTATCTCAGTTCAACTGACCAATGCAACGACAAAACAAGTTCTGAGTTATAACTTATAACTTTCGAAGTAATAGAGATGAAATACCGTCTTCTCATTTTAGCAGTGTTATTTATATTGTCAACAGGGGTCGGATCTATTCCTGACCCCAGCCCACAATATGGCTGCGAGACAGAAGCATACCCCCCTCTTGAACAGTTCAAACTGCCCTGGTTCCAAATTGATCTGGATGCGTCCCCACGTACCAGGTGACGATGTCATAAAATCATATGAGTATTTGCAATTGTCAGCTGATCCATTGTAAAAAGATGTTTTTTTTTCCAAACTTATTCAACAACTTCTTTTCGAGACTCTGAAATGTCGAATTTGTCGTGGAAAAGTGGTTATATTGTCAATTTCATGAATATATGTTTGAATATTAACAAAAGAAAAAATTTTTTATTTTACTTAGATATTTTTCGATAATTTAGTTTTTGTGTTTTCTGAAAGTTCAAGAAAGTAAGTCACGGCTAATACCCCCTAATACGTTTGAAATGCAAAATCATACAAGATTCTAGGAAGACTGTGCATTTTAAGAATTGAGTTTTTTTTCTGCAGCATGTGTAGAATATTCATCTAGGGATGCTACTGATTCATTTTACAACAAATTTGATTAAAACTTTCACAGGTGGACAGAGATCATAACAACTTACAAGGATCCAATCAATGACCTGGTTGACCAACTGCTGCATCTGTTGAACTTGGTCGACCCCAGCGGCACCATTCTCAAGATCATAGATGATGTACTTCCCACTTTAGTGCTCAAATTCCCCAAGGAGTACAGGTAAGACTCATTTTGAACCATCTTTTCATTTTCTTGATTCATGAAAACAGATACGAAGGAACTAAAGTGAAAAAAAAAACAAAGCTCTTTTTTTTCTGATTCTGGAGCTCACAGTTCAACTAGCCATACTTCGTCTATCATCCTTGGCTTTTATTTTAGATTTTATTTTTCAATATAAAAAAAGTTTGAAAAAATTAGAAAAGTGGCGCAATTGAAAAAGGGAAAATCTTTTTGAAAAGAGAAAAGGAGAATATCTAACTTTGAAAAACAACTGGTTCCGAATTAATTCAAGATTTTCCAAATAACGAAGGTAAGTTTCTTAAAATTTCACATGATATAAAGTTAAGTCTCCTCTTTTTTTAACAATCAGCAAAGAATTTGGGATCTCTTAAACTATTCCCCCATCTCTAGAGTACCTAATAATGAATTGCCCCCCCCCCCCCGTAAAAAAAGTTCAGCGATTAATCATATGTAACTTACTTACCTAGAAACCAATCTCCCCTTTTTGCAAAGGGGTGGGGAATCGTTAAAGAGATCCATGACTTGTTTGAATGGTTTGGAATTGGAAAAAAAAATTTACTTTCTTATTTTTACAAGCGCTCACAACCATTACGAGGCCAAACTGTGCTCTGGATAGGCGCACAGTTTTGTGTCTGTATAATCCTAGATTCCAGAGACAAGTCTTTTAACATGTTCGAATTTTGTCGGAACGATCAAAGAAAATGAAAGAACAAAAAAGAAGGACAAATCGGCTCACATTTCCCAAAAAAGTTTGACCTCGTAATGACTCAAAAAAAAAGGTTCAAAAACTTAACTTTTCGGTTTGTCCAGATAAGGCCAAAATGTAAAACAAGCTTACGGTGTTATGGATACTGTAGGAACAAGTCACCGCTAGACTCAGCAGCAGTATAAAACTGAACAAGTTTAAGACATTTATTAAAAACTCGGATAAAGGTGCTTGCGACTAGCGATTTTTCGGACCAATAAAAAAAACTTGAACCTGATCTAAAGCAATCTTGTTGGCCTTAGCTGAAACATATCCTTCCGCAGTTGTTCCCCTGTCATTTAACTCACTCGAGATTGTTTCACTGAAACCATTTGTAAAAGTTGTTCTATTATTAGGATAATTTTGTAATCCTATTTTTTGTTTTTTTTTGTGATGTGGTTTATTGTCATAAACGTTGACGATTATGAAACTTTTTTATGCTAACTTTGGGCAGCGTTTTGAGACCACCCTACCAGGCAGGTCCGTTTGCTGTCCTCTAGAGGTTAAATTACCAGTTTAACTTGCTTTAACTCGCGAGAAACAAATTCTTTCTTTCTTTCAATCTTTCTTCTGTTAGGTCCAAAAGTCTTCTTTTAATTGTTTCTTTTTTCAAATTGAAAACGTGTTCTCGATTTTTTATTAAAAGTGATGCCAGCGGAATTGAATCTCAGATTTTTGTGCGAAAAACGAGATGCTCATTAATTGAAAATTTTGTCTGTTTTGAGTTGCATAACAAACAAAAAATGTCTGTTTTTTTTTTGGTTGCAGGGAGGAGATCGAGGGCATCTCTGAAGTGTCTGGAGTGAAACTGGGCAGAGTGGTGGTGTATAACATCTTCTACGAACTGTTCTCCGTCTGCACCTCCATCGTCGCACAGAACTCACAGACAGGTAGGGAAAAAGAAAAGATTATTCAAACTATATTTCCTCTAAAGCGCATATCAACACATAAAAAGCTAAGTGCAGTCTTCACGTTTCCCGCTTTTATTTTTGCTGCTTTTACAATTTTCAAAAGCTGAGTTTTTTCACGAGCGGTGAAAAAAGGATCATTTGCATAATAATCTGTAAGATTGATTAAGGCTAATACGTCAGTGAAAAAAAAAACAGGAAAGATAAGAAGGACATTTTTTCATTTACTAAAAGTCTTTTTTTAAAAAATCCAAGAAAATTTTTCTGTGAAAGTCTTAATTATGAAGTCCATTAAAAAGTACGATGTCATACCACCGTTTTCTCAAAAGTACGACTTTTTTATTCTAAACCAAGAATGACAGACCTCCAATATTATATCACGACTGTTTCAACCTTCCAGACTTTTTTTGAAGTTTCTCAAATCGTGCGAAAAAACCGAACTGCGCCATAGTTCGTCATGTGACATGCCTACAGGGGTTGGAACATAAATAAGAACATTTGAAATACGTCTACAAACAGAATGTGATAGCATGACTGTACTTTGCGCTTAGATCCCCATTTTTGAAAAAAAACGTCACTTTTGTCTTTTGTCCAAGCTGTTTTTGATTCAACAAAGCTACGAAACTGAGATAAGTGAGTTGTCAAGAAAACTTTTGTTGTTGAAAAACTTTTAGGCAAGAAAGTGCAAGAGGGCGTTTCATAGAAAAAGAAACTACCCAGGATGACCAAAAGAGCGAATCAAACATTTTTCCTAAATGGAAATTTTCTAATTATACACTTTTTATGCCAATCCAAAAGTACAGAAAATTGTTTAAAGGTCTATTTTGTTAAGATCTAAAATGACCTTTCAATATAGAATCTGTAGGACTAGATTTAGCTCATGAACTCAAACATTTTTAAATTTTATTTTTCTGAATTTTTTGGGTTGTTTTCGTAACCGAACACAAATGATAAAAACCATGGTTTCCTCAAAACTATAGTATCCAAAGGTTGGACGACACTGCATTATAATGCATAAAACAACCTGATATGTCTTTGAATTGTTTCACTCAAATTGTTTCACTTCAAATGTTGTCAATCAGCCAGCTACCCGAAACTGATCTGCCTCAGAACCGAAACGAGGCAGAAATACATATGATTTGGTAAAAGTATCAATTTTTTTTATTTTTAGCAAAAAAAAGTTTCAAAGATGAGGTTCTTCAAATTTTGAGATTTATATTATTCGAGCATTGGTCAAGGCACACATAAAGATGCAATCAAAAGAAATAGGCGTTCTGAGAGTTTCTGAACAGAGCTATCTAGCGAAATGGAAAAAAATTCCGTGTATTTTTGGAAAAAATTTAAAATTTTTCCTCTCAATCAAAAAATGCTAGGCATGCTTTTTCCACATATTTGACAATTTTTGACAATTCCAGCAATTTGATTTTAAAAAAATTGTTTAGTTTTGACTATTTATGCCACAACAAAATCATCAAAACTTCGATAACACCATCTTGACAAAAAATATGGAATTTGTATGCTAGTTTTTTTCTCAGTATACCTATAACTTATTTTTACATAATAAAAAAGCTTGCTTTAGTGTCAACGCGACGTCTTTGCACAAAAAAATACAGAAGAAACTCCCAAATGACATCAAGTGGCTGTTCTGTCACTCAAAAAGTAAGGTGTCTAAACTTTTTCTTTCAATTCGAGCAAATATGATTTGATTTCGGTCGTAGTTATTTGCCATTTTATCGAAATCATGGAAAAAAAATCAAAACTATAAGGTACCTTGGTCTCTTATTTTCTTATATTCGAACAATTTTTCTCGATCTTGAGAAAACTAGATTGGATTTTGATTATTTTGAAGACAACTTAGCGAAGATTAAAATTCAATAGCTCTATATTTGATTAGTACAATCCTTTTCCATATCCACATTCAAAAAAAACCTATACTTTTATTAACCAAGCACAGATTTCTGGTTGCAGTGAAAGTGGCACAGAAAGTTCCAGCCAAAAGTATTGAGACAACACGTTTCAAAAATGATCAAGAAGTTTTGAAGAAAAAAAAATTAACCAAAACCTTTTAAAAAATGTACAAACATTTTTCTAGTTTTTGTTTCTTCGTTTTTTTAAAGAATTAAAGAAACAACTGCCAAAAGGAGAAGTTATAACAGCTGAATTATTATTATGAATCATTGAGGTTTAAGTTGGGAGACCAGCTTATCTTCTCTTCATTTGTAAAAGTCTGAAAAATGTAAAATCTTTGACATTTTTTCCCTGACAATGAGACAAATTTTCGAAAAAATTTTGAAGGCTGAATTGAATCAAAACACTATATTTTCAAAATTGATACCAAACAAGCTATTTTTGAGGTGGTCAGTATCGTGCATAAAAACATACTAATCAACCCTCAGTTCTTTTCGGTCTCTTTCACTGAAGCTGTCGGAAAAAGAAGCTGTCAATAACTGGGTCTTGAAACTGTTGTCAGTTGCCTCCCAGCGCTACAAACAACTAGTTACGTCTAGCTACCATTATCGACTTCTATCATAAAAACGATTGAATATTTTTTTTTTTTTTTTAATCATTAACTAGATTTTTTCTTGTAAACTTTAAACGAACTTTTAACAAGACTCATTTTAACATTAAAATGAAATCAATAAAAAACTTTTTTTGCGAAATTGCTGATTAGTTTGTTTTTCCTTTTCACAGCAGAACACTTCCCCGTGGAAAGGAAAAAACACATGTTTGATTCACTATATTTCACATGTTTTCCTCTCTTTTTTCTGCGACTAAACTCTCATAAGCAAATCACGAGCAGTCTTAAATCTTTCAAACTCACTACTTGTTTTTGTTTTTTCTTGCTTTCCATGTTTTTTTTTCAATCCAGGAGAGCACTTCCATGCGCGTAACCTTGACTTTGGCCTGTTCATGGGGTGGGACTTGGAGAACCACACGTGGACTGTGAGCGAGATACTCAGGAGGATGGAGTACAATGTGGAGTTTGTGAGAGGGGGGCAGGGGGTGTTTAATATGAGCAGTTTCGCAGGATATGTGGGCACTCTTAATGGGGTCAAAGCGGGCCAATTCAGGTACAAGTTTTGTCTCTCTAAAAAGAACAGATTTTTCCGAATCCGTTGGAAAATTGTTTCCATTCTTTTCTGAGCATGTTAATTTTCTAAAAAACCAACAAAAAAGACTTGGTCAAAACTATAAAAACGTCAGCGCTAAAAAAAGACCAGCGCTAGAGAGGGTGCAAGAAGATTTGTATTTACAAATACCGAGTTAGTTACCAATGATTGGGTTTATCAGTTATGAAGGGTTCCAAGGTCTGGATAAACAGGGGCTGGGTTTCTATTGAGAGGTCTATGTCACTCCCGTTTCTGCACGATTGTATTGCAGTTTTGATTAAGAAACTATCTTAACGTTGTCATAGAGTAATTACATTTAGCTACTGAACATTTTTAGTTTTATGAACACATTTTTTGGGCGCAAAAATGGTGAAACAACGCTTTTAGCCCAAAAAGATGTGAAAAAAACAATGAAAATGAAAAACTCAAAAATTAATTGGAGTGGAATTAAAACCGAGGTTGTTGCCTTGCTAAGAATTTATTACCTAGCAAATTGGTCACGTAAAATGTTTGAACATAATTTCTGTTTGTGTTGCTGCAGCCTTTCCCTGAATGAGAGGTTCGTATTGGAGGGTGGGTTTGTGGGTCTATTCGAGTGGATAGTGAAACATGAGGACCTCTACTTCCCCACCTGGCTAGCCAGAGACATACTCACCGGCAACTACACCTACCAACAGGTCCGAACCCTAAGCAACGTAACGTGATTTTAAAAAATCCAATTGGAAACACATTGCGTTTCTTTGAATTAAAAGGTTGTTGAAAAAAGTTGAGCATGAAAAACGTTTCATGTTCCTACAAAACTCTAAAATATGTAGACATAATCACTCTTAAATATCAGACCCAATGATCTATAATTCATCATAAACGTGATTATAAACAATCACCGATTAATCATAACTTTACTAACCAAATTGAGACTGAATTAATTGTTTATAGGCATTAGACACCCTCTCCACACGTGCCATCTTAGCCCCCTGCTACTACATAGTGAGTGGGGTGGGGCATAATGAGGGCTGGATCATCACCAGGGGGCTGAATGAGTCACTCTACCCCCTCCAACTGGACCAGGAGGGAGGCAGGTGGTATCTGCTGGAGACCAACTATGACCACTGGAAGAAACCATTCATACTCGGTGGGTTTTTTAAACTTTTATAGCAGTGTTGATAAATAGAGTTTTTGTCAGTATTGTACCCCAGGAATATGAACACCGTTACTTGAGAGTTGATTGTACAAATTTTGCTGAATGACGTTTGTTACTATGTTATTGGTCTGTTTACAATAAAAAACATACTTCATATGTTTTTTATTGTAAGAAAGGATACAGTATAAAGTCGCATGTATCATGTTTACAGCTCACTGTAAAAGTGCTCCATGTTATCTTACCAGCTTGTCTTTGCCTATAAACTTTTGCGAAGATAAAAACAACAAGACTGCTCGTATCAGGCAAAACCTTAAGAGTTTTGACTGCCTTTTAAGGTCAATAGAAGAGTAATAACTTGAAAAAAAAACTAAATAAAACAAAAATAAAATGAAAATTTAATTTGCAAAATTTTCAAGACTTTTTTTGTGAAAATCAACCCCCCAGCCCAAGTACAAAGTGATAAATTTCGCTTCTAGTAACAAGTCAATTATGGCAAGTATTTAACCAATTTCTAAGGTGGATTAAATCTCCGCTTACGCGTTAATAGCCAGATTGGCAAAAATGGCTATTTTTAAACCCCCATAACTTTATGAGAAAAGATCACAGGTGAGACATCTTTTCAAATTTAGCTCAATTCGAAATTTGTTCGATGAAAAAAAAACCACCCCGACCACAAAAATTCCTTTACTTTCGTTACGAAGGTTGGAACAGTAATTTTCTTATGTACTGAATTACACAAGAGGTCAATTTTATTTGGCGGAGCAGCTACATCGAACGCTCTTTGTATCTTTGTACGCTCTTTGTACGCGATTTGAACTACTATTATGCCAAGCATTTTGATCATACGGTATGTATGGTCCGCCTTTGCTATAACATAAGTGGTAAGGCCTAAAACGTCAACAGCATAATGCTTAGAAATTAACCATGTGAATTTGGGGGAAAAAATTAAGCTAGAGGCTGAAAAAAACTTACAAATGCTACGAAACTAATAATTTCAAACCGTTCAATTTTTTTGATAACCCAACTACTGAAGTTCTAGCATTATTTCTTATTTGTGCGATTAATGAGAACACTGTTATTTTTTCAATGTTATGGCCGTTATGGTGAAATGTTTTTTTTTTGAAAATTCTTTCATTGTTGATCAACATTTTGCATAAAAAAAGCATTAAGGTTTTGCTTTATAATGAATTTAAATACCTCAGTTTTCAATCTGTTTTTGCATCACCCAGTTTTAATGCTTTTTAATGTGAAAGAAGTTCAAAAACTGTTGAACGGTTTTTGCTATACTGGAACCAGATCTAAACTACATTTTATGATTGGATAAATTAGATATTTTTTTACCACTGTAAAGTATTTAATATTAACCAATCATGATCCATCTAACTAACAACCCACTTATTTGTAAGTGCTGAAATTACTTGTAATTTCAGCACCAGAGAGATTTGAATTTAACTTAGAAATTAGTTGACTCTCCGAGAGAACTTCAGCAGCCGCAATAAACCAGTATACCCTAGATCTATTGAGCCTAGCAGAGACTAGTTAAACAACCTGAGACTAGATAGTATAAGAGTAAGATTAGGATCGGTATTAGACTAAGAAGTTGCACGAATCTATCCGGCCGAAAATAAGATAGCGTGACGAGCAGACGGTGTACCCTATCCGAAATTACTCTATGAGTTAACCACCTCGGTTCTAACTCATCTGGTGCGACCATAAGTCTCGAACAAGACCTTAATAGCTTAGAATTAACCAAAATTAGATTAGAATTTAGACAAAACATTTTTAAAAATGTTATACGACGATAATTTAATCGAAATGTCTCTACGACTCAATAGATCAGAGCCAATATTCCGAACGATAACAGAACTACCCGGAATTGCAAGAAGACCTCGAACCAGAGACGACATACGACAAAATAGAAATTTACCAAATAGTTATATGATAGTACGGCAAAAGCCAACACAAACTTTTATATTTAGAATTTTATTAGCAATGAATTTAGATTTTCATTTGCAAACATAAAATTTTGAAGTCAATCTTCATAATCATTTCAGGCGCTAAAACAAAACTATTAATATACAATAACGATTGATAAAAAGATCTCAGATCGTTTTCCTAAATTCTGCAGTATTATATAAAACATGTTTGGAAAATATTTATTGAAAATCAAAAGAAAAATTAGTAGCATGACAATAAACTGTTAGTAATCATAATATCATCAATTGTCCCAGCTTTATCACCTAAAACATAACAGCAATCATAAGCTCACTAATATCATTAAAACACTAAATCTTTTTCTTAAACAAATTTAAACCATTTTAAATTTAAATTCACTTAATTTTAAAATCATATCATCAAGGCCTATCCTTGGATCAAAAAGAACAATTTTGTTCTCCCCACCCACTTAGCTAGTGTCTAACGACCTCAAACGTCGATTCACTATCCAACCCTTTCTAAAAACCCAAGACTAATAGAAATTTTTCAACAAAACTAACCATTCAAATTAGGATAAACAGTGAAGAACTTTGGTTATTCATCCTTCACTTGAACCCTCCTCTTATCAAGACCCAGGATAAATCTTAGACTTAGTAAGTTTAAAATAGTATCTAACGAACTACTCGCGTTCTAATTATACCTGAACCTTGTGGATCGATTTACTATTCTCCAACCCTTGAACACAATCACTACCCCTAAGTAAGATTAAGTAAGTTAACACCTTAGCTTATACTAGCCACGAGAAAGTAAAAAATCATTCTTCGGAATCGATATACTTTTCTCTCCAACCCTGAAAAAATAGACCCAGGTTAAGCTAAGCAAAAAATCGTGAGGACTAACAGGTTAAGAAAATAGAAATCATCTAACAACTTTTTGCATCCGTCATCCTAAACCTTATGTCATTTAAAAATCTAGGAAACAAACAAACAATCGTTTTACACAACTGTGAAATAGATAACAAAAAATACGACCTTGTAATCACACCTCATACACAAACAGTTGGATATATTAGAACAAAACGACAAACACTAAAAAGGAAAATAATAACCAAACAAAGACAAATCACACGAAAAAGATTTTCAAAAAATAGAAACGCATTTTCAGAATCAGAAGCCAGCAATTTAGATGAATTTTATAAATTAAAAGAATCTATTGATAAAAATTGCCCCATTCACGATCAATTATATTTTTCCGACTCAGAAACAACTTCAAATTCATCAAAAAGAGGAAAAAGAAGAATAAAAAAGCAATATAAACACAAACCAGTACACTTATATAATTGGAATCAACCAATAAGACACATCGATATTTACCTATTAACAGTCATTAAACGAAAAAATGAGCCAAACACACACTCCAAGTGAAGATAGTCCAGATGATGACGATATCTTCCCCGTCCTCGTAGATGCAACCAATGATAGAGGACAGCATATATTTTGCAAGAATTTACTCCTAAATTTGTTTGAACCCGGAATCAGCCCATGTAAAACAGAGTTCCCAGATGTAAAAATCAAAAGACAGATTATTGATCACTATCTGAAAAATATATGTAATTTGACACAACACTACGGAATCTACACCATAGAATTCACCTCACCAAACCCGAATCACCGCAAATATGTAATTCAAACAGACGACCTTGATTTAGAATTTTCAAAAGTATTCTCAGAATATATAAAAAGCATACAATATCATAACTCACAAAGAGCAAACTCCATATTATTTACTAATGAAGTTTTTGCAATAATATATAGTTATATCTCAATATTAGAAAACGAAATCCCAATCCCAAATGTCTCACCGACAGAGACATCCAAACATATAAGGGTACGACATGAAATCACACTATTTTCAACTTTCCTACATATAATTAAAGAAAATTTCACTAAAGATGAAGTTTCACAACATACAAAAGATGACTTACAAAAAATTTTGGCATGGTTTATAATAGATTATTTCACACATAATATAGATTTAATTTCACAAGCAAGAAAAAATTTTAGACCTCAAAACTCAAACGATGATACCGCCATCACAGAACAGTCAGACTACATTTGGGACCCCGAATGGTATCATTATGCATTCATAAATTTCCCACAATCAATTTCAAGTCAAGCAATAAGTACAATATCTTATACAAGAGATTATGTAAGAGTAGTACCATTAACCATTGACGCAACACCATTAAACTACAATACATTTTTACCTGATACTCGAAATAACAGTTTAAATTCGACCGTCATACACAATGAAAACCTTAATGGAACTAGGAATCTCACTCAACAATATATTCAGACACCATCACACTTCATAAATGAAGAAATTGTCCAAACAACAACAACTACACAACAAAGTATTTCACCGATACGTCCAAATTTAACAACACCAAGAAATACAAACACTTCACTAGCACAGGTAACCTTACAATCAACCGTTAAACCTTCGGTTGCTCCAAAATATTCACAAATGGACTACCAAAAATATAGACCCATGACAATACCGTCAAAAACACGCAGAACGTTCACAAGAAACAATTTTGCGGAACATAATTATAATTATACACATTCATCAAAAACAAACTATCCTCCACGAAAAAATAATAATAACCAAATCAGATCTCGATATTGAGATAATCCAATGGCAAAAACCAACTTAGTAAATTTTCAAAGTAATTCACATCCTCCACAGGATCGTAGTGAAAATTACCCATTCTTTCAACAGAATGAAAATAAAAAACAAGCACCTCATCAAACGGATTAACTATCCTCTGATGATGATTATTTACAACCAGATATATTTGCACCATATACCCAAGAATATCGCGGACAAGGAGTGCAGAAACCATATACACATCATAGAATTTTTTCTCCACACCAGATAGATACACAAAATCAACAACCAATACAAATGCAAAACCCAATTAATACACAATCTTTTCAACCAATTCAGCCACAAAACCCAATGATTACACACTCATATCAACCAACACAAATGCA